CAATGCTCATACATGATAGACTTGCTTTACCCATTCCTCAACAAGCCTATGTGCTTCTTAATGGCTTCTTTCACCTCTGTATTTCTCAAACAGTAAATTATGGGATTCAGAACCGGGGTTATCACGGTGTAAAACACGGCCACCACTCGATTCAGGGAAAAGCTAAAACTCGTTTTTGGTCTCACGTACATAAACATAATAGTACTATAATACATAAACACAACTATTAAATGGGCAAAGCATGTGGAAAAGGCTTTTCTTTGGCCGGTAGCAGTTGGTATTCTTAAGATGGTGGCAATGATATACACATAGGAAATCAAAGTCACCAGCAGAGAAGTCAGTATCACAAAGGAAGCATTGAGGAACTCCATCATGTCTATCTGATATGTGTCGGCACAGGACAGCTGAAGAAGGGGAGGCGAGTCGCAATAGAAATGGCTGATATCACTTCCACAAAAGGGAAGTCGGGAGATTAAGGCGTTTTGGGGGGAAGTGGTTATCAATCCTCCGATGGCGGCACATATGCTAAAACCGCGGCACTTGGTTGTATCCATCAAGGTTGTGTAACGCAGCGGCTGACAGATGGCCAGGTAGCGGTCGTAGGCCATAACGCTGAATAGGAAGCATTCGGTGGACCCCAAAGCGAAGAAAAAAAACAGCTGCGTTATGCAGCCGTAGAATGAAATGTATCTCCCGCGTGGGTTGAGGGTGCTGAGGATTTTGGGGACAGTCACAGAGACGTAACAGATTTCCAGAAAAGAGAGATTGCGCAGGTAATAGTACATGGGGGTGTGCAGGCGGCTCTCTCGCAGAGTAATAGTTATGATCACAGAGTTGCTCAGGAGAGTTAATAGGTATGTTATCAGCAGGAGGAGGAAGAAAATGTATTGCATGCTGGGAGGTCCAGGAAATCCCAGAATTCTGAATTCAACCGGCACACTTTGATTGACATACATCTGTATGGAGCAGGAAGACAGTTACTAAAACATTACGGCAACAGGTTCTATGATATACAGTTTATCATATTGCATTCACTTCAGACAAAAATCCCCGGCAAATTCAAAGTTTATGGGGGTTATTCACAAAACTGCCGAAGGCAGTCGAGTGAATAACCGAGCTGAAGTCAAGTGAGCTGGCTTGTATGGCTGATTTCAGCCGTACATCGGTTGCCTTCGGTTAGCCGAAGTGCAGAAGGAGCTCTGGCACCTCACTCGCTGTTGTTCGCCCCTATTCTCAAAGGGGCCGAACGACAGTAAGTGAATAGCCGAATGACACTTGGCTATTGTGCTCGGTACCTCCGAGGTAGCGAGCAGAATAGAAAAAAAGTTAAATGAATAGAATTTTTTTTTCCGAAAAATTATTCTAAAAAAATGTAAAAAAATAGGAAAGGAAAATTTAAAAAATAAATAAAAATACTTTAAAGAAAAAAAAGAAACGCTGCATCGCCGACCCAACCGCACGCGACGTACTCCGCCGCATAATGAAGCATCTGACAGATGCCAGCAAAAGAAAAACAATTGGGCGGAGCTAGCTGTGATAGCTAGCTCCGCCCAACTGTTTCCTTTTGGCTGGCACCTGCCAGAGTCTTCCAGCAGTTCCCGGTCAATAGCTAACAACTGGGCAGAGCCGGCCGTGACGTCATGGCCGGCTCCGCCCAGTTGGTATTGTTTAATGACAGATCAGCGTCCCCAGGTCATTTGGGCACGCTAATCTGTCATTACAACTGGGCGGGGCCAGTCGTGAAATCACGGCCGGCTCTGCCCAGCTGTCATTTGTGTGGAGAAAGGTCGGCCCTTTGGCTGTCACTTCAGCTCAGTCGAGCCCGAGCATATGCCTTCTGAGCATATCCCTTTCGCTCGGCTGCCTTCGGTTGCTGTACGGGCTATTGTGAATAGTCCGTGCAGCAGACCTTCGGTTTGACTGAACCGAAGGGCTCAGGCGGCCGAAGCGAGACAAAGGATCAGCCGAAGCTACAGCTGGATCCTTCGGCTCCATAGTGAATAACCCTTTATGTGAGCTGCCAAATGATTTTTAATTCTGTTCGCCCAGTCATGATTCAGGCACCCCAGCCAGACAGCACAGCCATGTCTTGGAGAGTCCCTGGTCCATCACTGTCCAATATATCTGCAGAGCACTGGCTTAGTTGTTGGCATTTCTGCCTTAGATCTCTGGGCTCATTGGTTCTAATTCCAGCCAGGATGCTATTTGTATGGATGCATGTAAGATAGGGACCTTAGATAATAGGCAACTTTAGTGCATGGAATGTTCTGTATGTAAAGCGCTGTGTAAATTGTTGGCGCTATATAAATGCCTCTAATGTTAGTTATAAAATTATTAATGTAATTTACTACCCATCAGAAAATAATCTCTTTATATTTTAAAGCCTGTACCCAGTGCAATATGGAATAAGATAAATCGGTAATACAACCCATGCATCCTTTTATTATTGAGATTTTTTTCTATGTTCCTTAGATTCTTTTTTTTAAATTCATGTTTCACTGTATTTATTTATTTTTCCTAATAGACAACAAAAATATCACAAATCAAAGAAAAATAAACAAAAACATTTAACAAAAACAAAACTCCATTAAATCACAACACCAAGGCATAAAAAACACTTGTCAAACTTTTCTCATCCCTCTGGTCCAAGAAAAAAAAAAAAATGGGTGGGGGACACCTCATCATTATAAAATATTATTCCAATATTCCATAAAAATCTCCTCAATCAATAATATGTGGCAGTGTAAGCCAATGCCACGGTGAAGTATGGCGACTTTGGCACCCAGGACTCTCAGCCAGAGGGGCTGAGAGGGTCCAGAATGTAAACAATGTTTTAAGGAAGAGCCTGGCCTTTCAGGTTCGTCCAGGTTTTTCTAATTGTAGCTGGGATCTGGAGCTCTGGAGATTTCGTAGAGCTCTGGGTGGGATGAGATCTCCAGTCCTGGGGTCAGGTGTTGATCAGCCTGGGCTGATCAGGTGGCTGAGAGCAGCCTTATTAGGAAGCCAGCCCAGTGCTCAGGGGAGTGTTGGAGTTGTGTGTGTGCAGGGAGCACACAGACACAGACAAACTTGGGTGCATGCTGGACGCACACGGAACAGCCAGGGGTGGCTGGGAGAGGTCAGGAAGGTCGGTGACCCCATAGGGACCTGTCGGACGCACTGCTGGGAGAGCAGAGTGAGTGCCCACGAGGGGAGAGGTCAGGAAGGTCGGTGACCCTAGGACCTGTGGTACAGACTGCTAAGAGAGCAGAGTGAGTGCCCACGAGGGGAGAGGTCAGGAAGGTCGGTGGCCCTAGGACCTGTGGTACAGACTGCTAAGAGAGCAGAGTGAGGGCTCACGAGGGGTGAGCAGGGTGGGTGTCTTGAAGCTGTGGAAAGCTACAGAGCCATATAAAGGACTGCCTTATGTTGCTGCTGCAAGCTATTTTGTGTTTGCCATTTAATAAACTGCATTATACTTGACTTACCTGGACTACAGTGGAGTGTCCTTGTTACAAATAGAATAATAAAAACACAATAATATAATAATAAACATACATTTACTTAGTAATCTAACGGTGTACTGCTGTTTCAAATTTAAAGAATTTATTTATGTCTAAATTTTACCATTAAAAAAAGAAAAATCTGTGAAAGCAAAATATTTATGTGGCCAAAAATAAAGCACAGAATACTCCATGGCTTTACCTTAGTGAGCTCTGGTATGCTGACACTCAAGACAAATACTGTTTCAAAATACTGTAATGCTTCATCTTCCTGAACATGTTTCTTCCCAGTAATTGTTTTATGTATTTATTGCTTTTATATTCTTTATTACTGGTATTTATATAGCACTGACAATGTACATAGTTGCACATTCACATCAGTCCCTGCCCTCGAGGAGCTTACAATCTAAGGTCCCTATCTCACATGTATACATTCAGGGTCAATTTAGACAGGAGCCAATTAACCTACCGGCATGTCTTTGGAGTGTGGGAGGAAACCGGAGTACCCCGAGGAAAGCTACCCAAGCCTCGGGAGAATATGCAAACTCCTTGCAGATAGTGACCTGGTCAGGACTCGAATCGGTGACCCCCCCAGTGCTGCAAGGCATAAGCGCTAACCACTATTCTTTCATATTATTCATAATAGAATAGTACTTTCATTATCATGTTCTCTTCGCGTCTACTTTTCATCAAAAACATATACCCAACATTTCTGTTGTCAGTTATATAGAAAAATTGCATCTGATGTTCTGTAGCTTTCAGAAAAAAACGTTGCACGGATCCTCTGAGAACAAGTGAGTTAATTGAAGGAAAATGATTCCAAAGCCAAAAATTGTTCTCCGAGGAAATGTATTTTTACCGTATCTCCTGAGCCCAATTGGCGTGTCACCGTTATCGCTAGGCTGTTTAAAAAAATAAAAGGTTTTCTAAAATAACCTTCTCCAATAGGGGACAGCACTTCAAGGTAATGTCCTGCATTACATAGCAGACTCATAAGTGACCAGCAATGAGCGAATAATGAAAACTCCACTCCTTCTGGGATTGGGTGGAGCAGACCCCATTGTTCAATTCCCTTTGTCAAGTGTAATAGTGCCAGGGGTGACACTGGCCCAAGATGTGGAGTGAACCCACTGGCACGAAACAGACCTGAAGGAGATCCGCAGCAAGGTACAAGAGGGGTAATCCAAGAAGCGTAGTCGGGGTCTGGTCCTGGTCGAGGCAGGCAGCGATCAACAACGAGGAGACAGGCCAAGGGTTTAGTAACCAGGAGTCCACATGAGGGTTCAGGGAACTGCAGAGGAATCAACAGCAAGAGGCTTAGTAACTGCACAGTATAGGCAGAATAACTCCGCAACAAGCCAGGGCTCAGGCTGGGATTTAAACTCAGTGGGGATCAGGACCACCTCGGGTTGCCGAGACAACCAGGAAGCTTCCCTCTGCAGGAACCAATAGAAGGGGAGAGAGCGGGAAGGTGTGTGCCGGGATCTTCTCCCAGCATGACCCACACCTGATGACACTGATGGGCGCGGACGCACTACGCGCGCGCTCCCGTGCACGCGCGCGCTCCCGTGCACGCGCGCGCATCCTGTCCGCCACACGTGCCCACATCGCGCATGCGCACCCGCAACCCGGCCGACAGGAGCTCTGTCAAGCTGAGGGAGACCCCGCACACTGCACCGCACCTGGCGACCCCTAGGTTAGGTGATACCTCCGGTTCCTTGACAAATAGTGAGCTGGTAAAAAAGTAGTTCAAATGACCACTTGCTTGTCTATTGCGATGCAGAGGGCAGTAGTTTCCTCTCAACAGTAAGATCACTCCAAGGGAGTCCAATGGGGGAATGCCACTTTGAGGAGAACTGGACCTTATGGGCAAAATCCCCTGCCCCCCCGTGATAACAATGACCTAATAAGAAAGTAGTATCCTTTGTGTGACATCACTCTCCTTGTAAGGAACAAAACAAAATGTAAAACATACCCAGGAGACAACAAGTGCTGCCTTGCTTGGGTTGTCACCAATATACCTTGAAAGGTCTAGCTGCCCTAGTTTACTTCATTGTTTTTGAATATCTGTAAAAAATAAGTCAAGGCAACTGGACTTGCTGTATTTTTTTTGAAGACGTTTAACTGGTCATCCGACCAGCTTTCTCAATTTAAAATGTCTCAAGTAATTCTTCTTCTTCTCTCGTTATTTTGAATTGAGAAAGCTGGTTGGACAACCAGTGAAACATCTTCAAGAAAAATACAGCAAGTCCAGTTGCCTTGACTTATTTTTTTACAGATATACCATGTGACCTGGATGAATGAGAACCTTCACAGACGTGTTTTGGAATAGTTTTCTTTGCTCAGAGTCTTCACGCTGCTTGAAGTCATCATTCATTTTTGGGGGAGATTTTCATGTTGGTAGTTCATGGGATCTTAAAATGAACCTGTGCTTTACCATGCAGAGCATTGTAACAGGTTCACTAAACTTCCTTCCTCCCCAGCAGTACATACAGATTGGCTCTCCTGCACATACGATCTGCCCTGGAACAACTAAGAAAGCATTGGAATTCTTCCCCTTTTGCCGGTCACATATTCCACCTCCGAAAAAGTGGGCGTGATTACGTTAAAATGTGTGACCACGTCACCGGTCACACATTTCAACGCAGTCACAAAATTTGATAGAACACCGGCACCACCCATCATTGCAGCGGTCCAGAGATACCCCCAACTGCATTCATATGCAGGAACCAATACTAGCAGGAGTGTCAATCTCCTTAGTCCCCTGCAGTGTTCAGTGGTTCCTCCCACAGACCTCTACATGGATTGGCATTCTGGCATTGTGGGCAGAGGTAAGCATCCCCTTACTTCTTTACAACTACAACGTGTTTGAGAAATATTAGTTTGGTGACAGGGTCTTGTTGGGAGGCAAGAGAAGTCACAGGTCCTCTTTACTGCTTTCAATCATATTCCCGCTTCTAACATCCAAGACTCACTATCATAATCCATAATCAATGTTGCCGGTCCCTTCTGGTCTTTTATCCTAACATTTTAATTTTTTTTACAACAGACATGCAGAGAATGAACGGCAACTGTCTGTGTGTGCTGCTCCTCGCTGTTTTGGCTATTGGTGAGTATTTCAATGTAAAATATTATGTTTTCACCCCCAAGAATACAAAATTAGAGATCTTTCTATGCTGCTCAGGTATTTAAAGAAACACATAGCAACACAAAAGAGCGATGGCGGAAAAAAAACTAGGGGGGTCATTCACTAAAGAGCCAAAAGATCCAGCCGTAACTTCGGCTGGTCCTTCGGCTCTCTTCGGCCGCCTCTGCCCTTCGGTTCAGTGGAACCTAAGGGCTGCTGTACTGTACTATTCACTATGCTGGGAGTCTGTTCCAAGCATCAGCTACTATTTTGGTAAAATAATACTTTCCGGAACTGGACACAGTATTCTAAATGAGGTCTAGCTAAAGTTCTATCTAGGGAATTTAGGACCTCCTTCCCACTCCTGGTGATCCATCCAGTGATAACTAACAATCTATATAGAGAAATCAGGACCTCCTTCCTCCTGCTGGGGATCCCTCTAATGATAACTAAACATCTATATAGAGGAATCAGGACCTCCTTCCTCCTGCTGGAGATCCCTCTAGTGATAACTAAAGATCTATATAGAGGAATCAGGACCTTCTCCCTCTTGCTGGAGATCCCTCTAGTGATAACTAAAGATCTATATAGAGGAATCAGGACCTCCTTCCTCCTGCTGGGGACCCCTCTAGTGATGTATGTCTGAATTCTATGTATTTTCCCCACTGCCAGGCCATACTGTGTGTTCATTTTTGCAATCATCTAGAATAAGCACCCCCATTTTGCAATATCACTGTGGTGTTTACATTAGAGCTGCTCTCTTTTTTTTTACACATGCACTCCATAGAGTAATAATAGGAAGAATCAGTCATGTGACATCCATGACATATCCGAGAAGAGGTAGTCCATGAGGTCAGTGGATTATTCCCAGCCAGTTATTGCGGGCAAGGTGTAAAATGACGATAATCTGCACATTTATGAAAACCTCATCAGAAATAATATCCTTGATAAACTTTGCCCTTGATATAATTGCATCTCTTGTGTGTTTTGCAGTGCTGCCGGTGCGGGGGAATGTGGCTAACCGTAGGGACGTTGGTAAGTCTGATAAACGTAATTGCAAGATTGCGTCATGCTGGTGGTTAGAACCAGGATGAAATATATATAACTCCCATGATGCAATGAGGAGATCCCTGTGCAACATGAGTGCTGCTGTTAGTGCTATGTGTACAGGGTCTCCAGTTTTGGGCAAAGAAGATGAAAGTGTTAAGTCTCATGCACACAGGCGCCAGGATCATACAGCTTAAAATTACCAGCCCATAGAAATCAATTGCTGTATGCAGGTATGTGCCAGTACCTGCATAAACACACGTATGCATTTGTGGCTGTACATCCGTGCATGTGTTTAGGCAGGAGCATAACTAGAAATCCCAGGGCCCCATACCAAAATTTTGTATGGCCCCCCCACACCCCCCCCCGCCAAAAAAAGAGCCA